CATCTGTCACAGCTGGCGGTGCCTCTCTCAAGGGGCACTTCACCACTTGGGTTAAAGGGGCAAGTTCTGCCAGTGCCACTTCTCCCTGGTAAGTAATGCTCCTGCCTAACCCATTTCCCTGCAGAGGCAGCTCTGCACTCAGCAGGGTCAACGGCAGGACTTTTCCTTTCCTTTTTTTTTTTGGTTGCTTTTTCATTTGTTTTTTCATTGTTGTTGTTGTTGCAGTGCCATTTATCTCATGCCTTATTAAGAGGCTGTCACCGCTAACTGTTTCTTCTTTATAACCTTACCTGGAGCCCTAGCCGTCGCTCTGAACCAGCTCTTCCTGCCGCTGTTGACAGGAAAGGACTTGCACTGGTGACAGCTACAGCAGGAACCAAGACAAAACCTCAAGCTGTTCCAGTTTCAGAAGCCCTGACAATGTTCTGCAAGAAAACCTGTTCCAAAGACCACACAATCTATAACCCATCTCCTTGCACAAACCATCATTTAAGAACCATCTGTTCAAGGCAGCCTACCCCAGTGACTGTCCTTCAGTGTGATTTAGCTCATCTGGTTCTGCTTAAAAACATCTTCATATCTTGGTCATATCCCTCTCTAAACTTATACCATTGAATCTACATTTTCATGCTAAAAAGTGTAAAGTAGGTTTGCTTTTCCAATCAAATTTCACGCTAAACTATGCTGATTCACTATTTCCTAGCACCACCAGGACTGCTCCGACTCCTTACTACAGAGATGAGAGCTGAAACCTTGCAGAGAGGAACTAATGGCACCAAGACCATACAGAGCACTGAAGCCAGCCCGCACAGTCCTTCTTACACACAAACCCAGCACTATCCGCCTCTCCTGGAAAAGTAACAAACTTAAACAGGCAAATATCCAGGTGCACTGAATGAGACCCATGCAGAGAACACAAAGAAAGAGCTTGCCTCTCACCTACTGAGTTTATGTGACCTCCTGAACAGCTCTTCTCTCTCCTGACCCCAAAATGAGATTCTTCCTGAGTTTTAACTGCATGGTTTCTCTAGGATCATTGTGTTTTTCTCAATGGGGAGATAAGGACCAGAATTGCCTCTATCCTGAGGAAGTGGGACCTGGAAAGGGTCAGCAGCACGCTTCAGAGCAAAGGAAGCTTTCCAAGGCTTTCAAGATGATGCCCCTTTCCCTCCTTGCATAGTCTGCCTGGGACAGGAGAGGGATGGGAAAAACATGCTGAGTCCCAGCCAGTTCCCAAAATGCGTAGATTTGCAGAGTATGAGATGATCTGTACAAAGATCCTGGTGTCTTTACAAATAAGTGCCAGTACAGACCTCTTGGGGGGACAAACAGCTGCAACTGCTTACCAGAAACACTCTTGAATGGTGTTCATTGCAATGGGCAATGAAAATTAAAAGAAAGTGTGCAGACTGTATCATTGCCGTTCCTTGACTTCTGAAAGGCTCTGAGGCTCAAGCTACTTTTGCTAGGCTTTCTGGACCTTTACAAGGGTCTTATGAAATCCACTGACCTTCTTTCAGAGAAGAGGAAATGCAGAGAGCACTTTTCTCCCCGCTTCAAAAATTGTTCATTTGGCTCACCTTTGCAGGACTCCTCAGTTCTCCAGATTTCATAATAGCTGCACTGCACAATTCTTCTAACTCTGATACAACTACAGGTATTTCACAGTGTAATTGTAGCCACACATGTAGGGTGCTGTCACACAACTCTCCAGTGTGATGTGGTGGTCACTGGAGGTAGCACTTGGAGCCAGAGAAGGACTTACCTTCTTTGGGTTTTGCTGTGTAACTCGGCTGCCACCCCCACCACAGAAGACAGCAGGACTCCAGGGCAGATGCTCTGTGTGGCAAGAAAGCCCACTGAGATGTGAAACACAACAAATATTCAGGAAGTTTAGTATTTCAGGCTGAGTGGGTTTTTTCCCACCAAGAAGAGTGAATCACCTCTACATAGGGTAGAGCAGTTGGCCCCACGCAGGTCAGTCCCACTCTGGGCTGAGGGCTGTGCTGGCCCTGGAGCAAACTGCCCCCACCTCCTGCCTCTGGCCTTCACACAGCTCCCGCAGGAATGGCTCATCACAGGCCTCTCCAGTCAGTCCCTTCAGTTAAAATTCACAGAGCCCAGTGAGCAGCTTAAATTGCAGGTCTTTGCCAATAAAGCTCCTTTTGGAGCCATTGTCTAAACAGTTCAGAAAGATGGTCTGAAGGGACAACATGTGGAGGGCAGCAGCCTCTTCTTGTAGCTCTTCTAGCACAGCTGGAGCTGTGAGGCAGCTGTCCTCAGCTCTACACCTTCCCATCTGCAAATCATCTTAAATATATCACCACTCTTAACTTCTTGTGACAACCTCCCAGCAAGGCTGATGGATAGGAGAGCCCTTCGGTGCAGTTAGCTGCCTGCGTGCAGCCACTGGTGGCTTGAAGTAATTCAGCTGACTGACTGCAACAGGTTAGGAGATGCCCCCAGGTCTCCTTCTGGGCTACACTGTGGGGAGCAATGACCTCCAATGAAAGGAGAGTGATGAACAGCTGGGAACATAAATTCTTCAGCTTGCACAGCTGGATCTGCAAGAGGATGCCTGGCTGTAAAGTATCTTTAAATATCATTATAGAACTGTGTCAACAACTTGGGCTTGTACTGGTTTAATTATTAGTTAAAATTCACCCCACCTGTATATTAACACTAGCACAAACCCTTTGTAGGTCAGGCTTAAGACTACTTAAGGTGCAGACACTTAGAGGATTAAGAACTGCCTATTCGTAAAGCACTTTGACCAGACATCACACTGTTAAGTACCAAGTGTTATTTCTGTGTGAAATAAGCAGGTTTGGCTTACTGGTTCCCAGGGTCTGCAAGTGGAAAGGGTGGAGGGACAGGACAAGCCTCAGCCACACTACAGCACACTCGCAGCCCACCACGGGCTCTGCCTTCCCCACCGCAGAGCAGTTGACAGAAGGGAGAAGAAACCATGCTGGCAGGGATGCCTGATGAAAGGGGAAAGCATTTGCTGTCCTCAATGAGAGGATCAAGTGCCGCTAAGCAGACTCCAGAGGATATGAAGATAGATTTACTCCTCCCCTCTCCCACAGGGACTTCTCATGGTGGCTCCAGGCCCCTCTTAGACCGTGCCGTGATGATAAGGCACAGCTGAGACCCCATTAACATCATCTCTGCTTCTGAAACTGCCTGGAATATAGCGGTACCAGCAAGTCCCACTGACCGGAGATTAACGAGCAGCTCTGAACAGATGAGGTCAGGTTCCCGAACCTCTAACCAGGCGCACGCTGGTCTGCATCCACCTTGCAAATACAGCGAATGACTGGAAGTATGGGTGTAAAATATTCCAGTTAGGAATGATAAGTGCATGTGATAGGCATGAAGGCACGGAGCCCAGACTTCATTAAGGTAGTTTTTATATTTTGAAAAGCAATATTAAAAAACACTGGAAAATGCAAGATAAATGTAACAGTTGCTTCTACAAGTTTTAACCTTGTATTGCTTGGCCATTTTGACATATAAATTATTGCTTACTATCTCTCATAAATACACGACACAATAATATGTACAGAGGCAGACAAGCATGGAATATGAAAAGAAAAACATTAGCAACATTGATTCTGGTAAATCAGATTATTTCATACATACCAGGTCTCATAATGGTGGATAACTACTAGCTGTAGTCCCTGAGAAGTTAGGTAAATACCTTGATTTGGGCTTTTCAATTTTATTACTTTTAATGCAAGCTGACAGCATTATGCCACTCAGAGAGAATGAACAGGCAGGTGTTCTCACCTCAGCTCATTGACTTCATCCCAGTATTTCTTAACAGTGTAATAAGATGACAATAAATAGGCTATGCAAATAAATATTACTCTGCTAAAATGTTTAGTATTTACATCTTTCTTTGTAATTTTACAGCAGCATGTATCTTATTATTTCTCATAACACTTTTTTTTTTTGCCACTGTCATGCAACTGCGATTTATTTCTGAGACGGGGCTGGAATCAAAAAGATATGTCATAGAAGCATTGAAATTTGGTGCAGCAAAATCCCACATCAAAGAGATACAGTGACCCAGCTTTTTCCTTTGTTTTGCCTAATTACTCCACCTAGCTACTAAAGAAAATATGCAGAGTATTTAACCCCAGGTGTGATTGTGAAAAACTGAACTTATAAGATTCATGGATTTTATCCTATGTAACATAATTGCGCTATTGAAGGATCTAAAAATAACACAGTATCACCAGTGCTGGACCCCATCAGAGGTTGTCTAGTGTCCCCCCTCCCTTTCGCAGGGTTTATTGCTAGTTCTCCTCCCAACCACCACACCTTCAAACTGCTTGCCAGTCTGCAGCCCAGCTCTGCGATGCTTCAGCTGTTGAACAAAGACTCTGAAGGGCCTTTTTTTATTAGACAGATTAACTACAGATTTGGACTGTTTGCCTTTCCTTTATGCTAAGTAATAATATTTGCATTTTCAATGTGAAATTGATGCATCCAGGCTGGCCTCTCAGACCTAATTATCCTCAGATCCTAATAATACAGGCCACCATGAAAACTAGTTTGCAAAGTTTGAAACAGTAGTCTAATTAGCCACAACACAGGTAATGAGGTTAATGGTGGCTATACACCTTCAAACTGAGTTTATGCTAGCTGCAAGGGGTACACAACACCTGATTTAGTATGAAGTTACAGTGGTGCAGATAGCCAATACCTCAGCTGGCTCAAACACACAAAATTAACCCATCAATTTACTTCAACCAGTCTGAATTGGCAGAGTGAGGAGCCTTCAAGGTGGCTTTGGCACCCTTTCAAATCAAAGCCTGAGCATAGAGTCATCTTTCTACTTCTTTTTTTTTTTTTCTTCCCTTTTTACATTTCCTTGTCTTTTATTCTTCTCCGGCGCTGCTGCTGCTTCATCAGCAGTAAGTACCAAAACTATCACAGAGCCAAATGCAGTGAACTGAGAAACAGGCCCGCTTTCTCACCTTCTCATGCTCCCTCTCCCACAGATCTCAAGAGGACAACTTGTGGAGTAGAGCATTGCACCACATGAGCTAAAGCAGGCAGGCTGGTCTACACACAGGCTCCTAAAAATAATGCCACAGGAAAAAAGATTTCACAAGGGGGAGCTCAAAAACCAGCAAAGCACCCAGGTAATGTGTCTAGGGTGGGGATTCGGGGAGTGCTGCAACCAGAGGAAGAACTGCAGTAACACAAGCAGCAAATTGTGTCTGGTTTGTGTCCTTACACTGCATGAAGGAGTCCACCGCAGGTAGTAGCCTCATCTGAACAGTTTTGGTCTGTTTGCACAAAAGAGTTATTTACAATATGTGCAGTCACATCTACAGAAGAACATAGGAAATTTTTACTCCATGGCCAGCAAGAGTTTATTTTTTTTTTCTTTTTACTGGGTAAAAAGAAGATATTTTTTTCTAAAAAAAAAAAAAATCATATAGTATTTGATAATAACAAAGTACAAGCAAATACATTTCTGAAACATCTGTTTCCTTTACAATAGATCTATACAATATTTCACAGATGGGAAAACCGAATGCATTCTACAGATTCTCCCACAGACTACTTGTTAAAGCTGTTTTTTTTTTTAAATCCCTTTAAACCAGAGATAACACAATGATGAAAAGCATGCTACTTCAGTATTCCCATATTTCAGTAAAGGAGCATTTTCTTGGAAGTCTTCCTCACGTGGAAAACATACAATAGAGATGGGCAAGCAATGCAATGTATCCTCCCTGCTCTGCAAAGGGACTGGAACTGTGAGTCAGTGTACAAACACGTGCCAGACTGCGTGGCACGCTGCACATTGCCTGTGGCATTCACTAGATTATTTCAGGGCAACTTCTTAGCACTGAAAAACAGAGCTACGGTGAGGATGGTGCTTAGATGTAGGTCAACTGTAGACAAGACTTTAGAAATGCTGCCTCAGTACATGCCCAGAAGTAGTACTTTTAGCTACATGAAAATTGGCTAGGGGAGGGGTGTGAGAGGAACAGAAGCAGTAAAGGGACCCTGATGCTGAGAGCCCGGTGTGTATGCAGGTAATTACACTGGTACCCTGTAAGGTGTACCCTTTTGTTCTTTAAAAACTGGGAGCGTGTGCAAGTTAGGTGAAATTTTACCTGCTGAAAGAGTATTTCCAGGAGGTGAGTCAGGAATGTAGGTGTATCTAGGCATTGCCTCTGAATAGACACCAAGGAGGCTGTAATCCAAGCAGAAAACAAAGCTCCTGCTATAATTATTTACAACACGTTAACTGCAGGAGCTGGTACTGTATCTGAGATAACTGAAAAGGAAGAAAATAACACATTTTCAGTGTACAAACAGTTGTGTCCATAAACTGCAACCAAAGTGGATTGGCTCTTACAGTGTGTTTTAGAAAGCAGATTTAGGGGCCATAACAGTGTGAACTGTTTACTGCTGACCTCCACATCACGACGCACTCTCGAGTTTCATCTGGTGCGCTTTTTATATTCCCATTCTCGGTTGTCCGCACTTATCTCAAATAAGATGCTCCAGTGGACTCAGGGGAGCTGCAGGGATTACACACTATTTTTGGCAACAATACTTTGGCAGCCTTGAATTAGTGTGGTACATACTGTGGCAAACTGAGAATCAATCCCCTTGCGGCATGTCGCTTGCTGAAATGTTTTGCTGCTGTGACACGATATTTCCTTTCATTCTAATACTGGCAGAATCTGCATTGAAAGCTACACTGGACCAAACAATACTTTCACAGAAACCAAGCTCCTGAGCTCAAAGGATGCTGCTGCTCCACTCCCTCCCGTCCCGGTGACCAGCGGGGATGGCACCAAGCTTGCCCTGCGACTCTGTGAGCAGCTCCTTTGCTGGCCCTTGCCTGATTTTCCTGCGCATGTTGTGTGAGCTACTGATAAAACTCAGTAAACTGTTCTTATACAGGGAAGCAACATGCTTGGCATAAACATTCACTTAATTCAAAGTGCTGCAGTTACAAGCTTATATGAAGCTGTGTATGCTCACACTCGCGGCTCTATCCTGTGAGAAAGCTCAAACAGAGCTTGCTGGTTGTCAATGACGTGCAGGTGATGGACATATGGCTTCAGCTCATGATGCTCTTTCGAAGGAACTTCATTGCCTGCAAGACAGGAGAAAGGGGGTGGATCAGAAAGCCGTGCCTTGCCTGCTTCTCTGTCCTGTGTGTTACAAAGTCCCTGGTGTGCCAACCTGTCGGGTGCTAGACAGTCACAAAAAAGACAGCCAGCGATACAAAGGACTTGCTGTTTAAGTGCAATGCATGAGGTAACAGCTAGATACAGAAAAGAAAGAAAGAAGCAGGCGATGCTGGGCAGCCAGCGTGCACAAAGGAGGGACAAGTGGACGGCAAGAAGCTGACTCCTCCCAAGCAGAAGATTTACTCCTGCTGGCACTCCAGGCAGTCCGTCCCCTGTGAGGGTGGTTCAAGGTTTCCTTTGCGCAGCTCTGGCAGCACAACGGGACCTTGCGCAGGGGTGGGCGACCCAGCCTGTAACTTTTAAACAACCTTAAGACAAGTACACAAGACAGCAGGCCCTAGATAATTTCCTTTGGAGCAGGTGAAAGGTGACAGTGCAGCAGACAGACACGAAAGCTCTTCAAAGCTGCTCTGACAGGCCCCCACGTTTTGATCCATTATGCTTTTGATTTCTGATCTAGTAACAGAGCCGAGAGTCATGCTGTCATTTCATGGGAGTTTACATGGCAAGAGGAATTAGCTGCGTAACAGACAAATTGAAGGGTGGCTTGAATAGCAGATGTTTTCTGTTACAAGCTTTATGCCCGACCTTGGTGTGTGGGAACTCGCCGCCTGTGAAACCAGACAGAAGTGGAAAAGGCAAAGCTAAGCCCATGGCCACGAGCCCCATCAAGACAGGCAGAGAAAGCCACGAGATATGTTTCCCACATGTTGCTGACTGCTGACAAATGAGCGAAGGTTGGAGAGCTCCATTCTAGTCCATGTCCTTAAGGAATTTTTAATGACATTACCATAAATTAAAAAAGAAAAACCCCTCAAAATTCCCCGAACCAATCAGCTTAACTCGCACGCTCCCTCCCTCTCCTTTGTTTCATCATCATCCTTTTCTCCACGCTCCCCAGCTACACGAGCAGCTCTCCAGGAACCGACCATCCCACTCGTTTCTAAAGGGCGCCGTACGACGTCAGTAATGTGGGAGGTCGATGCAGCCAGTTCTGCGTGCGGCTGCTCACGGGGCTCCCGGGCAGCTATTTTTAGGAGCTATTTCTGAGCAGCTATCTAACTTGAGAAATGTGGGAGAGAACAGGACAACGTGATAAATTTGTGTCTGGATACAGAGATGACCTTTTTGTTCTGAGGGAACAGAATCCCAGCAGCTGTGCTGAACGTACTGAAAAACATTTGTATTTCTCATTAACACCTGAAATGACAAAAGCTTGTTATTTTCTCAGGCTGCTTTTCCTGGGTTTGGAAATGCTATTATTTGTTTTCAGGACTTAGGATATAAAAGTATTATTACCATTAAAAAGGCACTTCAGTCTTCCTTGGAACCTGACCAGTTTCTAATCCAGAAAGACTTTGGCCTGCAAGCTTAATACACGATACAGCTCATAAACAAAAATAATATTTCTTGCTTAGTTTTGTTTGAATTCTTTCCTACAGTGAGACGCCTGCTGCTCTCAGGTCAATCTGGGAATTGATGCAGTAGAGAGATTCACATTCCTGAGAGCAAAATAAGCCCACTAGAAAAGGAAACTGTCCATAAAGTCTCAATAAATATTCAGTGAATTCATTTCATGCCTAAACGAATTTAAGAAAAAAAAGAAGTGCCTACAGGGATGTCTGTATAAGCTGCTTTTTAAATGCCAGCTTCACAATAAATCAAGTCTGTGGTAAAATAAAATAACAATCACGTACTTCAAACTACCAGATTATATGATAAATCTCAGGTATTAACCTTGGATTTATGTTGCAACACTTACAAAACCACTTGGAAAAAAAAAAGGCAAAAACAAGATGAAAGATTTGCAGAGAAGCTGCAAAAAAAATTCACATCGTTAAAAGGATCCAATGCTACATTTTATAATGCCAAATAAGAGACATTCTAACGTATAGAGGCATGGTTTGGATTAATCAATATTTCCTTTAGTATCTAGTTTAACAGAATAAAAACAAAAGGCACATCCCTCCCTCTCCCTCTGTCATACATATACAAATCTATATATCTCAAAATGACACAAGAACCATAATACTGAGCAGCCTTTGTTTTAAAAAAAAGATTGTACATACATATGGTAATTCTACAGAACAAATCTTCAGCAAAGATCTTAACAGTACCTATCATTCTACAAGGTACATGTATTTATACACAAAATAATAATAATAATTACAATTATTATTCTTTTCGTCAGAGTCCATGCTGACAGCTGCTGAAAATTCAGCTGGAAAAAAGAAATGATTCAAACTTCTTTTCCCAAGGCTGAAGCAGTTCTGAACATCTCTTTGGAAAAAAGGTTTTAATAGCCTCAATAAATGACATGTTTAGTGGGTTTGGCTTAAAAACTAACCACTTCCTAAAGGAGTGGTGTGTTTTTCCCCTTTCTGTGTTTAACCTCTCTGCAGAGAATGCTGAGAAAGAGAAAAACAAGGTTCCTCCTCTGCAAGCAAAAGAACAAAGCGAGCTGGGGTCTTCTGTCCTTCTTAAGGTTGGATTCTCTGGTGGCTAATAAGGTAGAAACACACATAAAAAAGTCTTTTGTGCAGCTGAGGCACTTGTGACCATTCCCATCAGTGTAGATCCTCCCATGTCTAAAGCAGGCAGAGCTCTATTAGCAGGCTTCCCCTAGCAGAGGTCCTAAGACAAACCCCTCTTTTCTACCTCATCAACTACTTTCCCAAAACCCACAGGATCTTACCATCTTCAAGACTTCTACCATTTTGTGAAATATCCTAAAGAACCCAAACTAAGCAAACAATTGCTCTTGGTGAAAAGCCAAGTGAAAAGCTGTGGTGATGAATACCATATTTTAGCTACTGGAAGCCAAGACAGCTGTGAATCCATTACCAAAACACACAGACTAACGGGAGACCGAGGTAACTCCGTTATAGCTGGGAAAGTGAGAAACAGCAGCGTACATCAGAGGCCTCCATTATTAAGTGCAGCTGGCACAGATCTTACCCAGTATTTCAAAGAGGTGATAATTTGTGTGGGAAAGTGATTTATAAAAAATTTGGAAGCTGTTCCTACAAATATTTTGTAAAGTAAAACTTCATCCAACTGTGGTTTCTGCTATGTTGACTTTCCAACAATGGTGCCCCCCTTTTGCCAACTGGTTAAATAACTATCGATCCCATTTTGGTGCTGTAGTAAACCTGAGCAAGCGGAAAGAAAGCAGAAAAAAAAAATCTCAAGGCTGTACAAAGGCAAAGTAGCAGATTTTGTATACTCACCAAACTGGTTATTTCTGCAATGTCTTAACGACCGAACAGTATCTGCAATCATGTGCTGCAAAGATAAGATATAAAAGATCAGTGCAAAAATCTGAGATGGATTCTGTCATTAGAAAAGCCAGAAGAATCTACTTGCCCTACATTGTACAGCAAAAAGCAACTGCAGTAAGGTAGAAAATAAAGCAAGAGAGACTTCGTTCCTTGTCTTAGTGATAATATATGATAAAACAGGGTTAGCCTAGAAGGTCCTTATTGATATCATACAGATTAAATGAGAACAACTCCATAAGAGCCCACAGAAAGTGGTAATGAAAAATAGCCAAACAATTGCTTATTTTTGTTCCTCTGACTTTTATTAAACTGAAAGCCTACAGCAGGAAGTCTTGTGGCCTGGGTGGGTGCTTCTGGGTTCAACCCCCACCTTTAGTGCATTATTCAGGGGATTCGGTAGTCTACAACCTCTCCTTCTGTTACCATGTGTTGTCTAATTAGACTATAAGCCCCTTTGTGGCACAGACTATACCGTAACATATACTTGTACAATGCCTAGCACAATCAGGCACTGGTACCAGCTAGGCAGGTTTCTGCAATATAATAACCAACACAGAAAAAATAGCCCATAGCCTAAATGCTGCAGAGCAAGCACCCTCACATCTCCGCAGACACGTACTAAATAAGACTATACTGTAGGTATACTATTTTTAAAAAAAGTTGGTGCTAACAGGAGTATTGGATGTTCACTTACATTAAGCAGAGGAAATAAAAGGTTTAAGTTTGGTTTCTCATTCAGGCTCAGGTCTTCAACTTATGAAAACTGGAATTGCTCACTATAAATCAGTGGAGTGTGTTCATTTTCACTAGATATTGCCCATAAAGTTCTTGAGGCATTATGGTTTTTTTTCTTTATTTGACTGCTTCTGTGGCAACCCTTCACCAAATCTAGTAACTAATTTAAACAAATTGCAGTTAGCAGGAATGATATAATAGATCATGCAAACAGCTGCTCTTCTCACATCTCCCTCAAAAATAATTAGAGGAAGACAGGATTAACTGTCTTGAGCAGAGTATGTTTAAGATCAAAATGATGCACAACAGCTCATCTCTCGACACCCTGGGAGTGGCTTACAAGGCTCCTCTACAGAAAAGCTTATCACAAGAGCACATTTAACGGAAACGTCATATTCCCTTCATCAGTGAATCAAAATCATTTCTCTTGTTACCCGCTGTGCTTCATTTGCCATGAAATCATGCAATCTCTTGTGCTGATGTCCTTGCACTGATTATAATGAAGTTCTAATGAGATGATCTGGATTTCATGATTGGGAGAGCTACAACTTCCACCAGTGCTGCTGCTGATACTATTTGCGTTTGGCTTTTAGAAGTAAGAGAGACCCCACTATCACACACGCTGTCATTCTTTGCTGTTTCTCCCTTGAATCAGTGAGTGTGAGGGTCCATCCCAAGACCGGCTTCTGAAGGTGATGCTCTGGTAATGGAAGAACCTCTTTGGTGTAACACTCTCTTAAAGCAGAATCTCAAATCTCCTGGCTTTAGTAGCCTAATTAGGCATTTCTCTCCGTCCATTTTCAGCTCTCTGGGATCCAATTGTAATACAAAAAATCAGCCAATTCATCTGCAAAGCAAATGCTATTTCCTGACTGTTTAAACAGGTATGCTTGCATACTGTTAGTGTGATGAGTAACTCACATTTCTTGTGGCCTTTCAGCCTACCAGCTACCTTGGATCATTAGCACTCCTTTAACTGATGACAGCAAAAACTCAGGTTTGAGAGTTGCATGGCTATTTGGGGGGCGGGAGCTAAGAATCTTCAGCTGCACGTACACAGTCCTTACAGCTGAAGGCACTAGGTAAGAAGGTATTATCTAAAATGGTAATGGCCATTGACCTGTATTAGAGTTTGCTGGAGTGTGGCTAAGACATGTCATTGCTAAGATATGGGTGATGGCTGACTGGAGAAAAAAACCTGAAGCACCCACATTTCAGTAAAGCAGCTCAGTAAATACCATGGAAATACCTTGAGATGCAACAGTATAAGACCGTATTTTCATTTATTGCTTCAGATTTAGTTGAGGCAGTGGGCACGGTACTAAGTATCGATGTAACACTATTCTACACTAGAATTTAGCCAACATGGAGTTAAACAAACCACTGCAATCCCTTCAACTTTTGCTAAAACTAGGTAACATTCCTAAGACAAAAGATTGTTTCATTTTCTTCTGTTTGCAAATTCCCTTCTTTATATTTTGAATTAACTTTGTCTTTGCTGCAATCACGTCATGTCAAATCAAGTTCAGTCACGGTAGGATTCTTGAGGCCACGATGGTCTAAGAATGTAAAAGAAGCAGGGATTGTAGGGAGAGAGAATATATCTTATTAAACCAACTGACATAGTTGGAAAAAACAATGGTTCAGACTGACAAGTCCTTCTTCAGGTGAGATGTTTAATGCAGAAATTAAATGGAGATTCAAGGAACCATCTTTGCTTTGAAATTCATAAGTAGAAATTCTACGCATTTATGACAGTAAGTTCCTTCCCCAAAGCATTCCCCCCTGCTATGGTAGAGTACTCCTTTTCTTCTTTTTCCGCAACAGCAAATTTTCAGGTGAGATTCAGTGGCTTGAACCAAACCAAGCAGGAGTCAATGTCAATCCTAATTTCTCTCAGCGGAGGCCAGGAAGTGCTCAGCACAGTATAGAACACCAAGGAAGACATTCTTCCTTGGGACAAAGCCCTTATAATTAGAAAAGAAATGTGAACTGATGTATACCAGATCACCTGTGATGCATCTTGTTAGTAAGCTCATGCCCATTGACTAAATACCTCAGCATGCAAATGAACCAGTGTAACACGTGTACTGCCTGAGCTTCCATACACTCGTATTTAAATCTCCCCTAAGCCCTCACTTCCTAAGCTTGCACTATTGCCTGCATTCATATGTACACAGAGCTCTGTGAGACAGCAGGTTCCTGAGGGCGTGATCTGACTAATAATTTGGAGGAGGTGTCAGTTTGAACAACCCTCACCCCACCACCATCACCTCAGATTGTCCCCCTCTGCCATTTAAAAATGCCCATTATCCATTTGCATGGAAAAGGTGAAATCCTGGCTTGCTGAAGTCAATTAGCAAAGCTCCCACAGCCTCTGGAGACACAACGGTGACAGAAAGAAGAGGGAATCTTACCCAGCAAGCCCAGCATACATTAAACATATACATGATTAAACAACAAACAAACTAACAAGGTCTGGCTAAGACTGGAACAAGAATCAGAACCTACATGTTCACTAAATAAATATATGGGCCAGTGGGGGGATTTTAGTAACAATTATTGTGCATCGAAGGCTAGTTTAATTTACATGTTAATTGGATGTACTTCCAAGAGGCAATGAAGAAGAACATGCTAATGAGTTTTATGCAAACACCTAAAGGTCAAACAGTTAATGGACCTGGGACAAGAAGACCTTTCATTAAATGCAAATCAGTGTTCTTGTAAACTCTGCAACAAGAAAAGGTACAGAAATCAAATAGAAAACACAAAAAAAAAGGAGCTCAGGTTCAAAAGTCAAAATCTACATCTGCTTGCAAGTTGAAAGACAACGTACATTATGATAGGATGTGAAAATAAGTTCAACATCTGGTTCATGAATAACTCTATGGTTGCATGCTCATTCTCAAACAAGTGTAAACACATGGAGAAAATAGTTGGGAACAATTCACCAGGCACCATCTGGACTACCAATCCCGTGGCACATCTAGAGCCATTGGCAAGAACATTTTGGTTTCTTGATCAAATGCTCTGGACCAACAACAACAACAACAAATAATCAAAGTCTCTCCACTCCACCACTGTTCAGATATATAAACTGTGGCTTTCAGTACTACCAAAATGTTATCAACAAAGAAATGCAATATGCAAATTGGAGAAATCTAATGAGTAATATCATGCCAGAGTAGATGTCACATGATGTCTAGAGTAATGTGGCCAAAGAGACAATGTCAGTTAGTGCCCCTCTATGTAAAAGTTAGTATAGTGGTATTTACCGTCAGTTTAATTCATATTTCAGGCATTATTTTCTTCATCACCTAACCTAGATCAAAAATTTTACTTTCATTTAAGATGTCTGGAATTAGCATACCAGTGGCAAGTGATAAACTAGAGAAACCTTTTCCTTAGTGCCTTGATAAAAAAAAAAAGGAAACGTAATTCAGAGAAAACTGAAGCAAGAGAAATTAACTGAAGAGAAATAGTCCACGAGGCAGTGCAAAGGAGAGAAAACTGAGTGGCCTGTGTGGCACTGATGCTGGCCATCACTGGCTTAGCCATTTTACACAGAATTGGGGGAGAAAGGAGTGAGAAGAGAGAGGGGCAGAGGAAAGGGGAAGGGGAGATAAACTGTTGGCTGTTTTATCCTGTTTGCTCTTTTTTACCCCTGTTTAACTTCTTCCCAATTCAGTCAGAAGAAAACCTTTTAGTCTTACAAGATAAGGAGGGGAAAGGGAAGAAGAGAATATGAATCTCTTCGAAAAACAGGAAAGACAAAATTAGCTTACCAGCTTTTCAAAATTAACAAGGTTATCCAGAAAGGTTTTATTTCCTTCGTGGATGAATGTTACATCTGAAAAAAAAAATAAAGGAAAGAGAATTATTTTTCATGGCTCTGTTTATTGTTTAATATAAAGAAGTAAAATGACTAAACAGCAACAAAAAAGAAAAAAAAAAAGAGGAAAACATCCAATTAAGAACTGACACAATACCTTTGGACAAGGGAACAAAAGCCTGGTATAATAACATGCAGAGATTATCAAATAGCAACACAATGTAAACATCGTAGGAGGAGGATTTTCAAGCAGGAGCAGAGATTCCTTTTTAAACCTGGTCTGTGTCACTTCTGGGGTGCATATATATCATACAGAAGATGCCTGGGAGCAGGCAGGGGCATCCAGAGGGATGGCCCTTCATGGCACACCTGCTCTCCCCACCCTGCGGCATCAAACGGGCAACGCTGCCCGTGGCTGTGCCCAGGCTGGGGCTGGCCGGTCCCCGAGCCCAGAGCTCCGTGAGGACAGAGCTACCAGACAACAGACTCGGCTCTGACACCCCTCACCTTGCTCTGTGGGACACAATGATGCTGAAGTCACCCCACGGAGACCGAGGCTACAGCAGAGACCAGCTGGGGAGATTAAACACAAGCCACCAAACTAAAGTTCAAAGCCTTGAAATAAGCATTATGGCTAGGGAAAAAACACTTTTACACAGTGTTGTTGGAGAGAATTTGCAAAGGCACCAAAAAGGTCAGTGAGAGGAAAAGGAAAAGGTCTACATTTGGCTCCAGGAAAGGAACTGAACACAGTGTAATAAACTGGACAGAGGGGAATATCTGGCGAAAAAAATGTTACTAAACTAAGATTACAATTAAAACAGTAACTTGAGGTCATTTTCTCCATTTTTCTAATGCATGTTAGGACACAAAGCAAGACCTATCTTGGACATGAAGTATCAAGGATATGGACAGATTATCTGTGGGGACTGAAGCTCTGCCTCCAATAGTGCATCCTCCAGGTTACTGAAAACACTACCAGGAGCACCCTCACTGCCATGCCCCCTATCAGCTCTCTCCTGGATGTGCGGGTACCCAGGAGCAGCAGGAGGAGATGGCACTATTGTAACGAGACAGCACTCTGATACCATTACCTCTTAAAAGTAACAGCTGTGTCTTCCAGCAGGCGAATGTCACACAGTAAATGGGTAACATCTCCCTCTCAGAAGTGGTGACAACCCCCAACCCACCAGTCTAACTGTGCATCTCAGCATTGCTCCTGTGCTCATCCCCAGGACTCCCTCTGAAGCCAACTTGGTCCCCCCAGTTTCGGGGGATTTTAGGACTGGAAACCTGCAGCTGACACTGGGGGCTGCTTTGTCACATCTTGTACCCCTTCATCCTCCCCCAAAACAGCCCACTTGCTTTATTTCCTTTTGTTTCAAAGACTCGCTCTGTGCCTGAGGGACATTTGAATTGCTTAGAATGGAAATGTTAATGGCTTCATATGCTGGTGGAAACCCGCGGGCTGGGACTCATTAGGCAGAGCTGTGCATGAGGGGTGATGAAGAGGTCCTGCGCCCCAAGGCAGCTGAGCTGGGGTCTGCCTTGGGCAGGCAGGAGGCCAGCCCAGCCACGCAGGACGCCAGTGGGATGCCAGCCCGGCCACGCAGGACGCCAGCCGGCACTCCTGAGCAAGAGGGGCAAACATGGCACATGCTGAGGATGCCTCCAGCACCTCTCTGCCCCACAGCAGCATCTTAAAAATCAGGGGAAAGGAGGGAGCAGGATCCTCTACACCTCCTCTGCTGGGCTGCCTTGGGGCTCCCAGGGAAAGGGAAAGGACACAGCTTCAGGACATAGGCATTACTTGTCTCTGTATCAATGCAGCTAAAAACCGTCCGTCACTTCTAATGAAGAACTTCTACTGGAAGCAAAAATTTCCACACAGCTTTTTAAGTCAATGACAGCAATGTATATATCTCCGAGGGTGGAAGGAACAGAAATTTGCTTTGCTGCCAGCAACTAAAAGTCTAGATAAATTCAGTGGAGCAGAAAATTGCATCTGAGCTATGTTGTAAGGGTACATCACAGTATTTTATTACGTATTTGAAAAACCTGCCTGATTTTCAAAAGCCATGTCTGTGTGCTGTAAGAGTGCTCTGCATTTAGATTTAATTAACTTTAAAAGGACACTCTAGAATTATTTTTCATCATTAAAGAAAGGTTATTAATAATTTTCAGGTTTTTGTTGAAACTACTTTTGTTCCTCTTGTGTTGAAATACAGTGATTTGTTGAGTTATTAATGATTTCCAGGCTATCAATACTTATTTTACTGGTCTTGGAAATAACATTAATACAAACACGCGTGACATGGAACAAAGTCCTATATACTGTGCAATACTTTGGGAATTACCAGCCCTGGCAATATCTCCTTCTGGACCATTGTATTGAAGAAGATTACTGTATTATTTTGCAAAGCCTCCTTGCTATCTCCAATATGTTTGAGAGACATAAATGCTGCTTACACGCATGTTCTTATACACCATATTGTAGTGCTGTGCAAACATCATTGCTACAGGTTATTTGTTTATGTTTGCCTCCTTTGTTTGCAGACAAGAGATACTTGAGAACACTGAAAAAAATATTGATTTCGAAGCCTTGATAATTGTATCTATCTGAATTAATGCAAATTCCTTTGATGTGTGCGAAGAGGGGAAATGCCTGATGGCTCCTGAACTGTCACCGACAGATCTAGAGAACTGCCTTCAAACATTTTAAACTTGCAGCAGCAGGCTGGAATAAACAGCCTAAAGAGAACACTTTTGAAATACAGTAATAATCAAATGAATTTGCCATGTTCAAAGACAAGACAATTAATAATTAATGACTCTAAGACAACAGAACATTTGAAATACCTGCCACTTAATTAGCTGGCTAGCTCACTGCGTTAAAGCAAGTAGTTTTAATTTATTTTTTAACACAATTTTTAATATTTTTTTTTAATAATAATGTTTTATTTATCTCTTTCAGACCTATAAGAGACTTTACAATCCTCTCTTCTCAGGACAGACAGGGCAGGTTCTGCCTTCAGGGTGACACCAGGTAGTTTTGGCAGGGTGAGCACCTCAGACCAGCAGCGTAGCTGATGCCCCGTTCAGGTGTCTGCAAGGTTTCGCTTCTCCACTGAGGAGGATGCGGCCAAAGCAATGGCACACTGCTCTACCCACACCTGACGGGAAGATACTGAAGTTTGAAAAACCTGTGTGAAAATTGCCATCTTCCCCCTGTCTTAAAAGGCAGCAGTTTAATATCCAGACCAAGTGTTTGCTATCTTGTAGATACCACCACATCTGCCACATATTTATCACAAGGCCACCTAAAGGAAAAAAATCACCTTACACTTACTTCAATTAACCACAAAGAAGAAGAGCCAGCCAAGCTTTAACATTACCTTTCAGAAGTAAGGGCATGAAGGGGATTTTTGGAGATTTCATTTTCTTGAATGCATCTCTGTAAGCTTTGTGATTCAGAGAAGGGTCCTACAAAACCATTTGGGTAATAAAGAGAAAAATCAATAGGCTATAAAAAGAGCAATTCTAAATCCATTACGGGCTTATGATCTGAACATGATTTAGATATAACAGGTTTCTTCAGGAAACGAGGTAGATAAAGGTTTTCTCAGCTAGGTGACTTACTAAACTGAACAAGAAATGTAAACTGTGAAAGAAACAAAAGCAATTACGTTCTTTTAGATGAAGCAGTGCTAAAATGGGAGTAAGCTGCAGAATAGATTCACTGGGACTCCTCTGTCATTTCCCCACAAATTTCTATTAGCAGAATCTCTTGAGCTTACTATCTAGCACAAACTGTATCACAGAATGTATTGCTGATTAATTTCTTTTTAAAAAATAACAAAAAAAATCCCCACCAAACACCAACAAAACAAATTCCAACAAAAAACTGCTCTCAGATCAATGGATCATATTGCAGATTTTCAAAGAAAATGAAAGTATGTTTCAGTGGTGTTGTGTAAGTAATTCAAAAAATCATCACAATTTCCCATATAAATGAACATTTTTGTACACCAGCTCACACATAATCTTGAAAAAACATTCATTTATAAAGGATACTAAGTACAGAAGCATGACAGCCATTAAAGGCTGGATCTCATGTTCCCCATGCCAGGCAGTGATCTCACCACACACCCACTTCCATGACAGCCAGAGGAAACACTTGTTTATTCAGCTTTGATAATGGCGACAAAGACCCTTAGCCTCAGATTTTGATTTTTTTTTTTAATTTATTTAAAAAACCAGCTTCAGCTGTCCTCCCATTCTCCTGATCCACAGCACATTGCTTCAGATAAAGGCTGATTAACCACCATAGCAAAAGAATGGCTTCCAAATTGATGCTGGGGAACCAACACTACATTTGCCTCTCTCTGCCCTTCCTCCAGCTCTTCCTCCAGCTGTCAGGAATACAGCCTTTTCCTTTTCGTGTTTGGAGACCACCTCTGAGCTCTGGCTGGTTGTGTGGCCTTTAGCAAATCACAGATCTGACATAAGTTCCAGCTCCAGACAATGACAGGCAGCCTCCAAATAAATTAGGAAGAAAGAAGGCTGGTAAAGACAAGCAATGCCGTTCTGCTGTCAACACCGTACTTACCGTCAAACTTTCAAGTTCAGTGAAAAGTTTCTTGAACTTCCCAGGAATTTTCTGAAGTGGGGAAAACAGAGGGAAAAAAAAACAAAAAAAGCTGATTTAGGCAGAAAAATGCTGAGGCATTTTCTTCCATGAGATTGTCGTGTGTGAGGTGCCTGCTGTAAGGACCAACAGGCAGTTAACCTCTGCTCCCTAGCTCCAAGAGCCCTAATTACAGACCATGTTCAGTGTGATGCCAGTGAGGCACCAGACCCTGCAGCCTTGCCTCAGGGACCTGCATTCTTCTTTTATGGAAGCTGCTTGTTAGCAGCTGTTTTTATTTTCTTCCCTAGCTTCCATGTCTGCTGCATTTACCTTAGTATCCATATCAAGTTAGGAGCAGTAATACAGGCTAAGAATTCTGATACTGTGATCACATCCAGGTTAAATCATTTGTTGTAATTTTTTTCTTTCCCTAAAACATGAGTTCTAGAAATTAGCAGGTGTAACACTCAGTGGCGTTCGATACATCGCCCCCAGTGCTGACCAGCATTACTACTGGCACATGCTGGTACCAGAGAGAACTTTCCTTAAAAAACAATGACTTAATCTATCCCACCTAATCCCACCAAGAGGTATAAAACCATATACCAAGGGAGCCCAAGCACTAACTACCTTCTTGCCCTACATGATAACACCCGCCTTGCTCCACAAGCATCTGCTCCCTTTTATCTCCAAGATGCTTTAATGGATTCACCTCATTATACTCAAAGCAATTGTTCTTCACTTTCAATTTTGCTCCTGGTATTTCAGACTCGAAGAATGGTGTGTGGACCTTAAAGCCTGTCTATTTTTTCCAACCATACTAGTTAGTCTAGTAAAAGATATCCCATCTTAGTATAAATCCTGTCCTGCCTTTGTCCTTAGACCCTGACAGCCACAATGACACTACCAAGAGAAAAGGGATTTAGAACAATTAAGATTAAGTAGATGTGCTGTATGATTAAAATGGTAAAATAACTGAACATGGAATTGCAATTGCAAATTTTTAATATCTTCAATCAGGGAAAGTTAGGCTCATTAAGACACTGCAAGCTGTAGAAAAAAGTAGAAGAATATGCTTGGGAGCATACTACTTATTTAAGAATTCAAGTGCAGAGCCAATATAATTTAGTGTCTAAATGGTTGCTTAAATTTAGGTGGCTTCATTTACATGTGTAAGCAATTATAATTAATTTATAAACATTGCTCTACTTTCTAGAAGTCATATTACTAATGCAAATAACCTTCTGCTTTTGAAATTTCCAGTGCAGTAAAGTTTTACAAATAATAAAAAAAAATGCATGTGACTTCATAAATATTTTACAGACAGAAGCGTGACATATTTACAATGATACATAAGCAAATGCACTCCTTGTTCCGACAAGCAATACATTCTGCTCTTCCTGAGAGAAGTCCACTAGCAGCACGTGATCTCCAGAGGTCTCATCACACAACAGAGTTCTGTGTGTTTCTGTGCGGAAGAGATCGACACCATTGCCACCGGGTGGGTGCCTTTGGGACAATACTTAGTCCTTTCCACTCTGCTACCAAAGCCCAGAGAAATGGAAGGAAGGCAACCATAAGAGCAGGCAAGGGCAAATGTTCCCTAATGGCCAAGGCATTTTAAAAGTCAGAGAGACAAAGAGTTTCTGTATTGTAATCCTCAGGTATGTATTTTTCTGTAAAACTTTTGCTTTACCTGTTATTTAAAGATAGCTCCTCCTCGCCTGTCCAAGTCCCTGTGAAATCGTTCCCACAGAAGCAGTCACTGCCCTCGTTTCTCTGTGTGCCAAAGCCGCTGACATAGGCAGTGATGTTTCCATATGCATGATTTCAGCTAAGGGGGAAGATTTGGCTCTGGATGGTGTTAGATAGGGTTGTAAGTCTCTGATGGCCATTTGGTTTCAGCTGTTGGTGCTCAAGAGTACCTCCAAGGCAGATGACAGCCATTCTCTGACGCTTTGTATTATAGACTGACGTTTTTTGAGCACTGCCCGCTTGTGGCGTTGGGGGCATGGGGGAGGCATGAAGCTTCACCCCATTACACTAAATTACCCCTTCTCCAATTTTTGGTTCATCAGCAAGTATAGTAAGCTTGCAGATATTACCACTCAATAATTTACTTGGATGTAAAAAAAAATCCACAATATAAACACAGATCCCAGTGGGACCCTCCTCTAAACATCCCATGCTCTGTCTAGCAACTGGTAGCTTCTTTAGCAGATAACCTCTGTTCTCCAGTATGCTCCTTATTCATGGCCCATTTCCTAACTTTGTTATTCAAAATGAGCAGCTGCAGAAGAGCTGATCAAGGACAATTAAAAAGGGTTTATTTCCACTTTGTATTTTTTTAAATGAAATTATTCCATAATAAGGGATTGCCTGTTTGGAGCCACCCTTATAATCTGACATCTAATTAAAATGCTAAGATAATTTACCTGACTTTTTTTTTTTTTTTTTTTTTAAGAGGGTAAGATCTCCTTACTTTGTTCTTATTTAAAAGCTTTAGAAGGATGCATTTGGTTTTATTTGAATAGCTGTGTATTGAATGTTTCAGGTCACAAAGAAGCTTCTCTACCTACACTTGCTGCCTGTTTGATTTCAGCACGAAAAACCAGTAATTAGAAAGAAAACTTAATTCACCAGTATACCATCTTTGCGAGAAATGGTTTTGACAGGGTCTAAAAGATAACAAAGATGCGTCTTACCTCCCAGGTCTGAGACAGCCGGCTGACAGATGCAGTGTTGAGACCCATAACAATAGCAAAGAACGAATTCAGATTTCTTTGGGCTTTACAGCTGTGGAATAAAAATATGAACACTGTATTCTGATTTTTTGTACTCAGAATAAGAGATAAATGGAATGCAGAGGTATCCTAGGTTACTGAGTCCCATTTCAATGCTCAGGACTAACACACAATCATCTTCCACATAATGAACTCATTAAATGTCCTCTCATGGCCACCTGCAGTCTAGGTGATGGGGTCTCTAAGAAGTTTTTTAGCAAACGTTCCACTGTCTCATCAACCCTGTTGTTGGCAGGTTATTTTTTTTCCTTTGCTGTCAAAAGTAATTTTCCCTTTTCAATGTTCAAGTTACTCTCAGCTGTCCTTTACCATACAGAATAATTCCTTGACCTCTATTCTATTGTATTATAAATATTTTCATCCCCTTTTTCATCTTTTCTGTAAATTGTACATCACTGGTTCCTTCAATTTCTTTCTGTGGTCACGGGCTGCAATCTACTTTTCCATATTGTTATTATCCTTCATTGAATTCTTTGTAATTTATTTTAACTTTTCTCTCATGCATTTCCTTTTTACCAAGGAGATGTAGTGAGACAATGGGGAGGGAAGGAGAAACATAATTACTGTTTCGGCTCTAAGTTCTTACACCTTTCTTCTATGCAAGTATAAAACAAATATCAAATTATTTATTTGGAACAGCATCACACTTTGTCCTTGCCTTTAATTTGTCATCCATTATCACCCAAGGACCTTTGTCACAGTACTGTTCTTTACAATCATACATTTATTTCTTCAGCTCAGTATTAGCATTCCCTTGCTGAATTACTTTGCATCTATCTAAATTAAATCTTATCCTACTGTTGTTTGCACATGCCACCAGCCTCCTTAGATCATTCTTTTTTTTTTTTTCTATCCTTCAATGCATTTGCAATCCCTCATCATTTTTATTGTCTGAAAATCTGATTAATGTTGAATTTATATATCCCTATAAATTAGTTGCAGTTAGCACTGGTTCCAATACAGGTCCCTACAGAATGTGCTTGATACTCCTATTCTTTGACATTTTACTATATACAACCAGACTCTGCTTATTTCTAGTC